GAATCTGGGAGAAGGGGATGGAATCGAGGAGAAGGAGATGGAATCTGGGAGAAAGGGATGGAATATGGGAGAAGGGGATGGAATATGGGAGAAGGGGATGGAATCTGGGAGAAGGGGATGGAATCTAGGAGAAGGGGGAATCAGGGAGAAGGGGATGAAATCTAGGAGAAGGGGATGGAATCTGGGAGAAGGGGATGGAATATGGGAGAAGGGGATGGAATCTGGGAGAAGGGGATGGAATCTGGGAGAAGGGATGGAATCTGGGAGAAGGGGATGGATTATGGGAGAAGGGGATGGAATCTGGGAGAAGGGGATGGAATCTGGGAGAAGGGGATGGAATCTGGGAGAAGGGGATGAAATCTGGGAGAAGGGGGTGGAATCTAAGAGAAGGTGATGAAATCTGGGAGAAGGGGACGGAATCTGGGAGAAGGGGATGGAATATGGGAGAAGGGGATGGAATCTGGGAGAAGGGGATGGAATCTGGAAAAGGGGATGGAATCAGGGAGAAGGGGATGGAATCTGGGAGAAGGGGATGGAATCTGGGAGAAGGGGATGAAATCTGGGAGAAGGGGGTGGAATCTAAGAGAAGGTGATGAAATCTGGGAGAAGGGGATGGAATCTGGGAGAAGGGATGGAATCTGGGAGAGAGGGGATGGAATCTGGGAGAAGGGATGGAATCAGGGAGAAGGGGATGGAATCTGGGAGAAGGGGATGGAATCTGGGAGAAGGGGATGGAATAAGGGAGAAGGGGATGGACTCGGGGAGAAGGGGGTGTTATCTGGGAGAAGGGGGTGGAATCTGGGAGAAGGGGATGGAATCTGGGAGAAGGGGATGGAATCTGGGAGAAGGGATGGAATCTGGGAAAGGGGATGGAATCTGGGAGAAGGGGATGGAATCTGGGAGAAGGGGATGGAATCTCGGAGGAGGGGATGGAATCTAGGAGAAGGGGATGGAATCTGGGAGAAGGGGATGGAATCTGGGAGAAGGGATGGAATCTGGGAAAGGGGATGGAATCTGGGAGAAGGGGATGGAATCAGGGAGAAGGGGATGGAATCTGGGAGAAGGGGTGGAATCTGGGAGAAGGGGGTGGAATCTTGGAGAAGGGATGAATCTGGGAGAAGGGGATGGAATCTAGGAGAAGGGATGGAATCTGGGAGAAGGGATGGAATCTGGGAGAAGGGGATGGAATCTAGGAGAAGGGGATGGAATCTGGGAGAAGGGGATGGAATCTGGGAGAAGGGGATGGAATCTGGGAGAAGGGGATGGAATGTGGGACAAGGGGATGGAATCTGGGAGAAGGGGATGGAATTTGGGAGAAGGGGTGGAATCTGGGAGAAGGGGTGGAATCTAGGAGAAGGGGATGGAATCTGGGAGAAGGGGATGGAATCTGGGAGAAAGGGGTGGAATCTGGGAGAAGGGGATGGAATCTGGGAGAAGGGGATGGAATCAGGGAGAAGGGGATGGAATTTGGGAGAAGGGGATGGAATCTGGGAGAAGGGGATGGAATATGGGAGAAGGGGATGGAATCTGTAACAAGGGGATGGAATCGGGGAGAAGGGGATGGAATGAGGGAGAAGGGGATGGAATCTGGGATAAGGGGATGGAATCTGGGAGAAGGGGGTGGAATCCGGAAGAAGGGGATGGAATCTTGGAGAAGGGGATGGAATCGGGGAGAAGGGGATGGAATCTGGGAGAAAGGGATAGAATCTGAAGAAGGGGATGGAATCCGGGAGAAGGGGATGAAATCTGGGAGAAGGGGGTGGAATCTGGGAGAAGGGGGTGGAATCAGGGAGAAGGGGATGGAATATGGGAGAAGGGGATAGAATCTGGGAGAAGGGGATGGAATTTGGGAGAAGAAAGATGGAATCTGGGAGAAGGGGATGGAATATGGGAGAAGGGGATGGAATCTGTGAGAAGGGGATGGAATCGGGGAGAAGGGGATGGAATGAGGGAGAAGGGGATGGAATCTGGGAGAAGGGGATGGAATCTGGGAGAAGGGGATGGAATCCGGGAGAAGGGGATGGAATCCGGGAGAAGGGGGTGAATCTGGGAGAAGGTGATGAAATCTGGGAGAAGGGGATGGAATCTGGGAGAAGGGGATGCAATCTGGGAGAAGGGGATGGAATCTGGGAGAAGGGGATGGAATCAGGGAGAAGGGGATGGAATCTGGAAGAAGGGGATGGAATCTGGGAGAAGGGGATGGAATCCGGGAGAAGGGGATGGAATCCGGGAGAAGGGGGTGGAATCTGGGAGAAGGTGATGAAATCTGGGAGAAGGGGATGGAATCAGGGAGAAGGGGATGCAATCTGGGAGAAGGGGATGGAATCTGGGAGAAGGGGATGGAATCAGGGAGAAGGGGATGGAATCTGGAAGAAGGGGATGGAATCTGGGAGAAGGTGGTGGAATCTGGGAGAAGGGGATGGAATCTGGGAGAAGGGGATAGAATGTGGGAGAAGGGGATGGAATCTGGGAGAAGAAAGATGGAACCTGGGAGAAGGGGATGGAATGTGGGAGAAGGGGGTGGAATCTGGGAGAAGGGGATGGAATCGGGGAGAAGGGGATGGAATCTGGGAGAATGGGATGGAATCTGGGAGAAGGGGATGGAATCTGGGAGAAGGGGATGGAATCTGGGAGAAGGGGATGGAATCTGGGAGAAGGGAATAGAATCTGTGAGAAGGGGATGAAATCTGGCAGAAGGGGATGGAATTTGGGAGAAGGGGATGGAATCTGGGAGAAGGGGATGGAATCTGGGAGAAGGGGATGGAATCTGGGAGAAGGGGGTGGAATCTGGGAGAAGGGGATGGAATATGGGAGAAGGGGATGGAATCAGGGAGAAGGGGATGGAATCTGGGAGAAGGGGATAGAATCTAGGAGAAGGGAATGGAATATGGGAGAAGGGGATGGAATCTGGGAGAAGGGGATGGAATCAGGGAGAAGGGGATGGAATGAGGGAGAAGGGGATGGAATCTGGGAGAAGGGGATAGAATGTGGGAGAAAGGGATGGAATGTGGGAGAAGGGGGTGGAATCTGGGAGAAGGGGATGGAATCTGGGAGAAGGGGATGGAATCTGGGAGAATGGGATGGAATCTGGGAGAAGGGGATGGAATCTCGGAGAAGGGGATGGAATCTGGGAGAAGGGGATGGAATCTGGGAGAAGGGAATAGAATATGTGAGAAGGGGATGAAATCTGGCAGAAGAGGATGGAATTTGGGAGAAGGGGATGGAATCTGGGAGAAGGGGATGGAATCTGGGAGAAGGGGATGGAATCTGGGAGAAGGGGGTGGAATCTGGGAGAAGGGGATGGAATATGGGAGAAGGGGATGGAATCAGGGAGAAGGGGATGGAATCTGGGAGAAGGGGATGGAATCTAGGAGAAGGGGATGGAATATGGGAGAAGGGGATGGAATCTGGGAGAAGGGGATGGAATCGGGGAGAAGGGGATGGAATGAGGGAGAAGGGGATGGAATCTGGGAGAAGGGGATGGAATCAGGGAGAAGGGGATGGAATCCGGGAGAAGGGGATGGAATCTGGGAGTAGGGGGTGGAATCTGGGAGAAGGTGATGAAATCTGGGAGAAGGGGATGGAATCTGGGAGAATGGGATGGAATGTGGGAGAAGGGGATGGAATCAGGGAGAAGGGGATGGAATCTGGAAGAAGGGGATGGAATCTGGGAGAAGGGGGTGGAAAATGGGAGAAGGGGATGGAATCTGGGAGAAGGGGATAGAATGTGGGAGAAGGGGATGGAATCTGGGAGAAGAAAGATGGAACCTAGGAGAAGGGGATGGAATGTGGGAGAAGGGGGTGGAATCTGGGAGAAGGGGATGGAATCGGGGAGAAGGGGATGGAATCTGGGAGAATGGGATGGAATCTGGGAGAAGGGGATAGAATCTCGGAGAAGGGGATGGAATCTGGGAGAAGGGGATGGAATCTGGGAGAAGGGGATGGAATCTGGGAGAAGGGGATGGAATCTGGGAGAAGGGAATAGAATCTGTGAGAAGGGGATGAAATCTAGCAGAAGGGGATGGAATTTGGGAGAAGGGGATTGAATCTGGGAGAAGGGGATGGAATCTGGGAGAAGGGGATGGAATCTGGGAGAAGGGGGTGGAATCTGGGAGAAGGGGATGGAATATGGGAGAAGGGGATGGAATCAGGGAGAAGGGGATGGAATCTGGGAGAAGGGGATAGAATCTAGGAGAAGGGGATGGAATATGGGAGAAGGGGATGGAATCTGGGAGAAGGGGATGGAATCAGGGAGAAGGGGATGGAATGAGGGAGAAGGGGATGGAATCTGGGAGAAGGGGATAGAATGTGGGAGAAGGGGATGGAATGTGGGAGAAGGGGGTGGAATCTGGGAGAAGGGGATGGAATCTGGGAGATGGGGATGGAATCTGGGAGAATGGGATGGAATCTGGGAGAAGGGGATGGAATGTCGGAGAAGGGGATGGAATCTGGGAGAAGGGGATGGAATCTGGGAGAAGGGAATAGAATTTGTGAGAAGGGGATGAAATCTGGCAGAAGGGGATGGAATTTGGGAGAAGGGGATGGAATCTGGGAGAAGGGGATGGAATCTGGGAGAAGGGGATGGAATCTGGGAGAAGGGGGTGGAATCTGGGAGAAGGGGATGGAATATGGGAGAAGGGGATGGAATCAGGGAGAAGGGGATGGAATCAGGGAGAAGGGGATGGAATCTAGGAGGAGGGGATGGAATATGGTAGAAGGGGATGGAATCTGGGAGAAGGGGATGGAATCGGGGAGAAGGGGATGGAATGAGGGAGAAGGGGATGGAATCTGGGAGAAGGGGATGGAATCTGGGAGAAGGGGATGGAATCCGTGAGAAGGGGATGGAATCTGGGAGAAGGGGGTGGAATCTGGGAGAAGGTGATGAAATCTGGGAGAAGGGGATGGAATCTGGGAGAAGGAGATGGAATCTGGGAGAAAGGATGGAATCTGGGAGAAGGGGATGGAATCAGGGAGAAGGGGATGGAATCTGGGAGAAGGGGGTGGAATCTGGGAGAAGGGGATGGAATCTGGGAGAAGGGGATAAAATGTGGGAGAAGGGGATGGAATCTGGGAGAAGAAAGATGGAACCTGGGAGAAGGGGATGGAATGTGGGAGAAGGGGGTGGAATCTGGGAGAAGGGGATGGAATCGGGGAGAAGGGGATGGAATCTGGGAGAATAGGATGGAATCTGGGAGAAGGGGATGGAATCTCGGAGAAGTGGATGGAATCTGGGAAAAGGGGATGGAATCTGGGAGAAGGGGATGGAATCAGGGAGAAAGGGATGGAATATGGGAGAAGGGGATGGAATCTAGGAGAAGGGGATGGAATATGGGAGAAGGGGATGGAATCTGGGAGAAGGGGATGGAATCGGGGAGAAGGGGATGGAATGAGGGAGAAGGGGATGGAATCTGGGAGAAGGGGATAGAATCTGGGAGAAGGGGATGGAATCCGGGAGAAGGGGATGGAATCTGGGAGAAGGGGATGGAATCGGGGAGAAGGGGATGGAATGAGGGAGAAGGGGATGGAATCTGGGAGAAGGGGATGGAATCTGGGAGAAGGGGATGGAATCCGTGAGAAGGGGATGGAATCTGGGAGAAGAGGGTGGAATCTGGGAGAAGGTGATGAAATCTGGGAGAAGGGGATGGAATCTGGGAGAAGGAGATGGAATCTGGGAGAAAGGATGGAATCTGGGAGAAGGGGATGGAATCAGGGAGAAGGGGATGGAATCTGGGAGAAGGGGGTGGAATCTGGGAGAAGGGGATGGAATCTGGGAGAAGGGGATAAAATGTGGGAGAAGGGGATGGAATCTGGGAGAAGAAAGATGGAACCTGGGAGAAGGGGATGGAATGTGGGAGAAGGGGGTGGAATCTGGGAGAAGGGGATGGAATCGGGGAGAAGGGGATGGAATCTGGGAGAATAGGATGGAATCTGGGAGAAGGGGATGGAATCTCGGAGAAGTGGATGGAATCTGGGAAAAGGGGATGGAATCTGGGAGAAGGGGATGGAATCAGGGAGAAAGGGATGGAATCTGGGAGAAGGGGATGGAATCTAGGAGAAGGGGATGGAATATGGGAGAAGGGGATGGAATCAGGGAGAAGGAGATGGAATCTGGGAGAAAGGATGGAATCTGGGAGAAGGGGATGGAATCAGGGAGAAGGGGATGGAATCTGGGAGAAGGGGGTGGAATCTGGGAGAAGGGGATGGAATCTGGGAGAAGGGGATAAAATGTGGGAGAAGGGGATGGAATCTGGGAGAAGAAAGATGGAACCTGGGAGAAGGGGATGGAATGTGGGAGAAGGGGGTGGAATCTGGGAGAAGGGGATGGAATCGGGGAGAAGGGGATGGAATCTGGGAGAATAGGATGGAATCTGGGAGAAGGGGATGGAATCTCGGAGAAGTGGATGGAATCTGGGAAAAGGGGATGGAATCTGGGAGAAGGGGATGGAATCAGGGAGAAAGGGATGGAATCTGGGAGAAGGGGATGGAATCTAGGAGAAGGGGATGGAATATGGGAGAAGGGGATGGAATCTGGGAGAAGGGGATGGAATCGGGGAGAAGGGGATGGAATGAGGGAGAAGGGGATGGAATCTGGGAGAAGGGGATAGAATCTGGGAGAAGGGGATGGAATCCGGGAGAAGGGGATGGAATCTGGGAGAAGGGGGTGGAATCTGGGAGAAGGTGATGAAATCTGGGAGAAGGGGATGGAATCTGGGAGAAGGAGATGGAATCTGGGAGAAAGGGATGGAATCTGGGAGAAGGGGATGGAATCAGGGAGAAGGGGATGGAATCTGGGAGAAGGGGGTGGAATCTGGGAGAAGGGGATGGAATCTGGGAGAAGGGGATAAAATGTGGGAGAAGGGGATGGAATCTGGGAGAAGAAAGATGGAACCTAGGAGAAGGGGATGGAATGTGGGAGAAGGGGGTGGAATCTGGGAGAAGGGGATGGAATCGGGGAGAAGGGGATGATATCTGGGAGAATGGGATGGAATCTGGGAGAAGGGGATAGAATCTCGGAGAAGGGGATGGAATCTGGGAGAAGGGGATGGAATCTAGGAGAAGGAGATGGAATCTGGGAGAAGAGGATGGAATCTGGGAGAAGGGAATAGAATCTGTGAGAAGGGGATGAAATCTAGCAGAAGGGGATGGAATTTGGTAGAAGAGGATGGAATCTGGGAGAAGGGGATGGAATCTGGGAGAAGGGGATGGAATCTGGGAGAAGGGGGTGGAATCTGGGAGAAGGGGATGGAATATGGGAGAAGGGGATGGAATCAGGGAGAAGGGGATGGAATCTGGGAGAAGGGGATAGAATCAAGGAGAAGGGGATGGAATATGGGAGAAGGGGATGGAATCTGGGAGAAGTGGATGGAATCAGGGAGAAGGGGATGGAATGAGGGAGAAGGGGATGGAATCTGGGAGAAGGGGATAGAATGTGGGAGAAGGGGATGGAATGTGGGAGAAGGGGGTGGAATCTGGGAGAAGGGGATGGAATCTGGGAGAAGGGGATGGAATCTGGGAGAATGGGATGGAATCTGGGAGAAGGGGATGGAATCTCGGAGAAGGGGATGGAATCTGGGAGAAGGGGATGGAATCTGGGAGAAGGGAATAGAATCTGTGAGAAGGGGATGAAATCTGGCAGAAGGGGATGGAATTTGGGAGAAGGGGATGGAATCTGGCAGAAGGGGATGGAATCTGGGAGAAGGGGATGGAATCTGGGAGAAGGGGGTGGAATCTGGGAGAAGGGGATGGAATATGGGAGAAGGGGATGGAATCAGGGAAAAGGGGATGGAATCTGGGAGAAGGGGATGGAATCTAGGAGGAGGGGATGGAATATGGTAGAAGGGGATGGAATCTGGGAGAAGGGGATGGAATCGGGGAGAAGGGGATGGAATGAGGGAGAAGGGGATGGAATCCGGGAGAAGGGGATGGAATCTGGGAGAAGGGGATGGAATCCGGGAGAAGGGGATGGAATCTGGGAGAAGGGGGTGGAATCTGGGAGAAGGTGATGAAATCTGGGAGAAGGGGATGGAATCTGGGAGAAGGAGATGGAATCTGAGAGAAAGGGATGGAATCTGGGAGAAGGGGATGGAATCAGGGAGAAGGGGATGGAATCTGGGAGAAGGGGGTGGAATCTGGGAGAAGGGGATGGAATCTGGGAGAAGGGGATAAAATGTGGGAGAAGGGGATGGAATCTGGGAGAAGAAAGATGGAACCTGGGAGAAGGGGATGGAATGTGGGAGAAGGGGGTGGAATCTGGGAGAAGGGGATGGAATCGGGGAGAAGGGGAAGGAGTCTGGGAGAATAGGATGGAATCTGGGAGAAGGGGATGGAATCTCGGAGAAGGGGATGGAATCTGGGAGAAGGGGATGGAATCTGGGAGAAGGGGATGGAATTAGGGAGAAAGGGATGGAATCTGGGAGAAGGGGATGGAATCTAGGAGAAGGGGATGGAATATGGGAGAAGGGGATGGAATCTGGGAGAAGGGGATGGAATCGGGGAGAAGGGGATGGAATGAGGGAGAAGGGGATGGAATCTGGGAGAAGGGGATGGAATCTGGGAGAAGGGGATGGAATCCGGGAGAAGGGGATGGAATCTGGGAGAAGGGGGTGGAATCTGGGAGAAGGTGATGAAATCTGGGAGAAGGGGATGGAATCTGGGAGAAGGAGATGGAATCTGGGAGAAAGGGATGGAATCTGGGAGAAGGGGATGGAATCAGGGAGAAGGGGATGGAATCTGGGAGAAGGGGGTGGAATCTGGGAGAAGGGGATGGAATCTGGGAGAAGGGGATAAAATGTGGGAGAAGGGGATGGAATCTGGGAGAAGAAAGATGGAACCTGGGAGAAGGGGATGGAATGTGGGAGAAGGGGGTGGAATCTGGGAGAAGGGAATGGAATCGGGGAGAAGGGGATGGAATCTGGGAGAATAGGATGGAATCTGGGAGAAGGGGATGGAATCTCGGAGAAGGGGATGGAATCTGGGAGAAGGGGATGGAATCTGGGAGAAGGGAATAGAATCTGTGAGAAGGGGATGAAATCCGGCAGAAGGGGATGGAATTTGGGAGAAGGGGATGGAATCTGGGAGAAGGGGATGGAATCTGGGAGAAGGGGATGGAATCTGGGAGAAGGGGGTGGAATCTGGGAGAAGGGGATGGAATATGGGAGAAGGGGATGGAATTAGGGAGAAGGGGATGGAATCTGGGAGAAGGGGATGGAATCTAGGAGAAGGGGATGGAATATGGGAGAAGGGGATGGAATCTGGGAGAAGGGGATGGAATCGGGGAGAAGGGGATGGAATGAGGGAGAAGGGGATGGAATCTGGGAGAAGGGGATAGAATGTGGGAGAAGGGGATGGAATCTGGGAGAAGAAAGATGGAACCTAGGAGAAGGGGATGGAATGTGGGAGAAGGGGGTGGAATCTGGGAGAAGGGGATGGAATCGGGGAGAAGGGGATGGAATCTGGGAGAATGGGATGGAATCTGGGAGAAGGGGATGGAATCTCGGAGAAGGGGATGGAATCTGGGAGAAGGGGATGGAATCTGGGAGAAGGGAATAGAATCTGTGAGAAGGGGATGAAATCTGGCAGAAGGGGATGGAATTTTGGAGAAGGGGATGGAATCTAGGAGAAGGGGATGGAATCTGGGAGAAGGGGATGGAATCTGGTAGAAGGGGGTGGAATCTGGGAGAAGGGGATGGAATATGGGAGAAGGGGATGGAATCAGGGAGAAGGGGATGGAATCGGGGAAGAGGGGATGGAATCTAGGAGAAGGGGATGGAATAAGGGAGAAGGGGATGGAATCTGGGAGAAGGGGATGGAATCGGGGAGAAGGGGATGGAATGAGGGAGAAGGGGATGGAATCTGGGAGAAGGGGATGGAATCTGGGAGAAGGGGATGGAATCCGGGAGAAGGGGATGGAATCTGGGAGAAGGGGGTGGAATCTGGGAGAAGGTGATGAAATCTGAGAGAAGGGGATGGAATCTGGGAGAAGGAGATGGAATCTGGGAGAAGGGGATGGAATCTGGGAGAAGGGGATGGAATCAGGGAGAAGGGGATGGAATCTGGAAGAAGGGGATGGAATCTGGGAGAAGGGGGTGGAATCTGGGAGAAGGGGATGGAATCTGGGAGAAGGGGATAGAATGTGGGAGAAGGGGATGGAATCTGGGAGAAGAAAGATGGAACCTAGGAGAAGGGGATGGAATCTGGGAGAAGGGGATGGAATCTGGGAGAAGGGGATGGAATATGGGAGAAGGGGATGGAATCTAGGAGAAAGGGATGGAATATGGGAGAAGGGGATGGAATATGGGAGAAGGGGATGGAATCTGGGAGAAGGGGATGGAATCTGGGAGAAGGGGGTGGAATCAGGGAGAAGGGGATGAAATCTAGGAGAAGGGGATGGAAACTAGGAGAAGGGGATGGAATATGGGAGAAGGGGATGGAATCTGGGAGAAGGGGATCGAATATGGGAGAAGGGGATGGAATCTAGGAGAAGGGGATGGATTGTGGGAGAAGGGGATGGAATCTGGGAGAAGGGGGTGGAATCTGGGAGAAGGGGATGGAATCTGGGAGAAGGGGATAGAATGTGGGAGAAGGGGATGGAATCTGGGAGAAGAAAGATGGAACCTAGGAGAAGGGGATGGAATCTGGGAGAAGGGGATGGAATCTGGGAGAAGGGGATGGAATCTGGGAGAAGGGGATGGAATCAGGGAGAAGGGGATGGAATCTGGGAGAAGGGGATGGAATCTGGGAGAAGGGGATGGAATCTGGGAGAAGGAGATGGAATATGGGAGAAGGGGATGGAATCTGGGAGAAGGGGATGGAATCGGGGAGAAGGGGATGGAATCTAGGAGAAGGGGATGGAATCAGGGAGAAGGGGATGGAATATGGGAGAAGGGGATGGAATCTAGGAGAAGGGGATGGAATCTGGGAAAAGGGGGTGGAATCAGGGAGAAGGGGATGAAATCTAGGAGAAGGGGATGGAATCTGGGAGAAGGGGATGGAATATGGGAGAAGGGGATGGAATCTGGGAGAAGGGGATGGAATCTGGGAGAAGGGGATGGAATCTGGGAGAAGGAGATGGATTATGGGAGAAGGGGATGGAATCTGGGAGAAGGGGATGGAATCTGGGAGAAGGGGATGGAATCTGGGAGAAGGGGATGAAATCTGGGAGAAGGGGGTGGAATCTGGGAGAAGGGGATGGAATCAGGGAGAAGGGGATGGAATCAAGAAGAAG